ACGGGGCGCAGCCGCCGAGGGACGGGGGGCAAACAAACAATGTGGGATTAGGAGGAGAGGGACCGCAGTTAAAAAAGAGTTAAAAAAAATAGAGGGAAAGATCAAAGCGCCGGGTAAAAGACTCTTCAAATTACACGTTTGAAGCTTTTCCATAATTCCAAGGCGACAGATAGATAACAAGCTGCACATTCTTTATCACATATGGAATCAATCTGAAAGGAGTCTCTTGATCAGAATCTGTTAATTGCAGTGACATACGATTTGGAAAGAAAACACGATTAATGACCCTTCATGTTAAGGCTTTGGGACGAGGCCACTGACAATCTGCGCTCTGCAGCCAGCGTCAACTTTTTTTGTTATTATTGTTATTATTAGTAAACTGTTAAAGGGAGACATTCCTCGAGCCCCGGCGACTGTTTTGTCTCCGTTCCCCTTGCAGGTTTCTTCAGAAGGAGGAGGAGAAGAGAAGGGGATGGGAGTGCGTGCGCGCCTTTCCTTCAAGGTTTGGGGAGCTAAAATGATTTAGTACCTTGTCTGTAAATCTAATGACCTAAGGTGAGAAAAAATACTTCATCTTTTATTATTACCATTTGTGGTGAGCGTTACCAGGAAACAGCAGAACCCGTTTGAGATGGTAAATATATGTATCCATTTAAAACCCATTATTGCGGAGCCTTTCCCAAAGCGAAATAAAGCGATTCTCCCCAATCCCGGTTTTTTAGCGGCCTCTGTCCACGGCTTCCCTTGGCCTCGCTGCCTCTTTCCGGGCCCTGGGACCCCCGAACCTTGGCCGAGCCTTCCCGGGTGCGGGGGTGCGGCAGCAGTGGGTGCTGCGGGGCGCTGTGTGCGTCATGCGCACCCTGTAACGTTAGGGAAGGAGGGAAGCAACATTTTTTTTAAAAGCTTTACTCTGTCATTAAAAGGTAATGGCTTTGTTTTAGAAGGGAGAGGAAGAGGGAAAGGGAGAGGGAGAGGTTCATTTGAAGGTTATAAAGCATACACTTTAATAGGATCGAAGTGAAATTAGTTAATAAGAAAATGCTGGCCAGAAGCTCTCCGGGCTTTTAAGTGCTCTCCAGGCCATTTAGGGAAATTGAATAAGAACAGACTCCGTTACCTGCAGCCCTAACTATTATCTCCAGTTCTGCACAGAGGCGAGAAGGGAAAAATAGTGCCTGAGAGACCTGAAGTCCTGTACGCCTCCTGCCAGCCTATTTCCTCGAGAAATAATGTCCCCATTCTGCTCGCAATCCTGTTCTCCTCCTGCTGCTGCTGCTTTTAAGCAGACCAGACTGCACTGTGTACCACAAGGGGGTAAGCAAAGGTAAGGGGCCATTGGCAGGCGCTGAAGGCTCCGGGGGCAGCTCTGAACAGCAGCCTGCTCCCAGCTCGGGCAAAGCTGGCCTCTCGGTGTTATTTTTCCCCTTTCATTTCTCTGAGTTGGTTGCTTGGGTTTTTGTTTTTTGTTTTGTTTTGTTTTTTTCTTTTCTTCCCCT